GGGGAGCTGGGCGATGAGGTAATTTGAGCGGTGACGGGTCGGTCCTCGCGCGCCTCCCTGGGTCCCTGCACCTAGTTGGAGGGGACTGAGCGACAACGGGGCGCTACTCAGGCAACCTGGGGGACTCCCTCAGGGGGTGTCAGGCTTCAGCTGGGAGCCGATGAAACACCCCAGGGGGGAGGGGAGGTCAGTCAATTCTAATCCCTACGTGCCCTTGGTCCCCGGCGCTCGAAACAGCGTCTAAAAGGGCTCACTCTGATCATCAGCTGCACGTTAACCCGCAAACCGGCGTCGCTTCGGCGTTCCGGAACCCAGGCCCGGGGGCCGCGGGGATTGCCTCTGCATGCAACTCCGGAAAGTTTCAAGGGGCCCCTTGACTGCACAGGCACCCTCACCTTTCCTGCCTGCGAGCGCTGGCGACCGCCGGACCCTCCCCTCCCTCTCTCCGCAGGTCCGGAAATCGGCTTTGATATGGAACTACTCCGCTCTAGCCTGGAAAGGAGACCCGCGCACTCCTCTCGCAGCTAATTTGGGATCATTAATTTAATCGGAAATGAGGTAACCAGTGTAGGAGACAGAGAAAGCAACCGGAGCATCAAATGGCAGTTCTGCAATCGACGAGGAACTTAAATCTGGACTCAGGGTTTCAGTGCGGTCCCCGACTCCCACCACCCGGCCCCTCCGCCTGTCCCGCCGCCAGGTGTGACCTCCACGCGAAGGAATCTTCTGCGGATGGGTGCACCTTGCCAACAGGTGTGGCACCTGGAGGATTAAGAGGCGCCTCCAGACTAAGGGCGCTCAATGTGGTGTTCTTGTTGCAGATGATTCTGGAAGGCCAGTAGGTGTCGGGAGACATTTGACCTTCTTCAGGTGCTTAGAACTAAGTGTCTGGAAACATGATCCCTTCGCGTAAGTTTTTTTCTGAAAGACACCGCTCTTGACTGTAAGCTGTATTTGAGAGACCTTTTGGCTCAGTTTACTTAAGACCTAACGGTTAGTCACCAACTGAGGCAGGGCACAGGATAACCAAAAAAAAAAATGTCAGTTTTTACACAACTCTGGCCTGCAAGAGTCTACGTGCTTCATAAATAAAAATAAACATCCGAGCGAGGAAGGTGCAGAGCCCCGGAAATATTTGTTCTCACGTTTTTGAAGTACCGTGCACATATACGTGGCTATTTAAATGTAACTACTACTGTTCACTGTTACTCATTTCTACAACTTTCTTTTTTCCATTTAAAAATCGATTATTGTTACGGTTTAAACCTCGGGTTGGTCTAAAGTGACATTGTTGGTCTCATTACAGCCTCTAGTGGACAGTTAACATCGGTTTCCTGAAGAGGCTCGGACTGATTTTGTTTTCATTGACAAGCTTGGCCAAGGTGAAGGTTAGTACGTAAGAGCATAATCGGGTAAAATGTCCCCCTACCCCTAACCTCACCCCCGCCCCCAACACCCTACTTGGCAAAGACGACTTCAGAAAGGAGTAGTGGCTTGTTGACTTTGTGTAGAAAAGACGTATGCTTTGTGCTGCAGGTATTATTATTACCGGACTGTGAATAAACAGAAAGCTTCTGCTATTCATTTCAGTTTCAGACAGCTTTCATAAAAACTAAATTCATCTCAAATATTTTTATAACAGAAAATATTGGTTGCCATGTTTTTGGCTTAACTGCGATGTTTTTATTCCAACTCATAATCTGCAAACTGTCCAATCCACCTCCACGCTATTTTTAGACATCTTACATTTAGATAATTTTCAGTTAAAAAAAGCTAATATTGTAATTATTACGTTGGCACAAGCAGTTAATTTATGTGATTTTAGCAACCTTGAATTAAAACACGTAATTCAGATTAGAGTTAGTCAATTAATTTAAATGTTCTCTCAAGGAAGCTAAATATGTATATTACCCAAATGGTAAAAACAACTAATAAGAAATGTGTCATTTACTTTCTTAGCCATTAAGATTAAAGCCATAAACTGCCACCAAAATCTGTAACTATTTCTTCCTGCAAGATCCAACATAAACACCATACTCATGAAACAGTCTCATTACCTTTAGTACTGAAATATTTTGTTTTCAGATGGCAAAATATTAAATGTACAATCGCAAATAACAGGCACTGATTCTTTAGAAACAAGACTTTCTCGTGCAAATAAAAACGCAATGAAAAAGGGCAGAGCTTCCAAGAAGCTAGTAGGCAAATATATAGTACTACAGTCCTACTCATAAGGCTGATGTTATATTTGTAAAAGCATAAGTCAACCTTTGAAATTACAGGAAATCAATAAATAAGGCCTGATGAGCTTGACTCGTATCCTGTGTCATAGATTGCTTAAATACCATGAAAACTAATTGCAATCACATATCTATTTTACTGTTTTGGTGGTATCTACTCTTGAAGGTTTTAAATGGGCTAGCAAGTATATATTATATAATGACATATTACACCCTTACTTCTTAAAGTATAGTCTTCAAAGTAGCTGCAGCAGCACTTGGGAGTTTTTTAGACATTCAGAGTCAAGGGTTCTACCCCAGACATACCAAATCAGAATCTGCCTTTGAACCAGGCCCCAGGGCATTCCTAAACACATTACCATGTGAAGAACACTGGTCTATACCACAGAGATCAACCTACATAAATGCAGGCACAGGTGCAGAAGTTAATTCCTCTATTTATTTCTTTTTTGCTCCTTTTTAGTAAATACAGCCCTTTATTAATTTGTGCTTTTCAATGAAAAATTATTACATTATATGCTTTGGATAAATACTACTGCATTTTAAGTGCACACATCTGCATCATTATTGCCAAAAGAGAATGCTCTGCTGAGGAATGTACTGGGGTCTTGAACATGAACATTTTCTTCATGGCAGCAGAGGGAGCACAAGAGTGCTTAATAAAACCAATGCACAGGTCTCTCCAAATCATGACAGATTTTAAATTGTAGTATATGTTTTTATTGGAAGTAGCCCATTACGTAGTTCAAAATGAAGCAAATCAACCAAGCAAACACAAATAGGCTTACCAGGTCATAGTAACTATGTAATTGAACAGATTAAAAGTTGAATAAAACAAAGATAAAGTTCTTTAGAGTTTTAGGCTTGAATTCTTAAAAGAAAGTGGACCTCAGAAGTGAAAAAGATGCTTTAGCTTTGCTCAAAAACAAAGATAACACAACACAGAATCAGGCAACCCTAAGAGTAGCTCCTGTTTATCTAAAAACAGAGTCAGTTCACTGGACCCTGGATCAGGTAAGTTAATTTCATTTGGTGTCATACATGTTGGTTAAGGTCCATGCGTCTTTCACTGTGTTTACATTCAGAATAATTTTAGGGGTTTGTCCTTAATACTTGCAGTGGTAAGGATTTAGGTTTCAGTTATACCTATGTAGTATTTCATACTTTTCACTACTCTTCCATATTGCATCCTCAAAAACTCCATTGAAGCAGATAAGATACTTGGTAAAAGTCAAGTATCAAAAAAGTTATGGAACCAGGTCGTGCTTTCATAACACTGAGTCATTTAATTGTTTCAGTAATGCTTTGAGGTGTTCATTAATGAGGGAAATTATACAAACTAAAGATCCAGAGCATTTTTTATAGTTTTAAAGGTTTTTCAAAGTTATTCTTAGTTAATATGTTTATATATTTATTATTTATTTACAAGCAGTCATTTATTCTGCATCTACAATAACTAAGACCTGAGAATATAAAATTGAGTAAGATATCTTAGTGTTCAAGATCAGAGCAGAACAGATCTTACCTTTGGAAAACTGTTAATTTTTACCCTGATGAAACACAAAGATTCATAGTTGATCGATCCAGCACCTGCCAGAATCATAGCAATCAGACTTCCAAATATGAGAAGCAAACACTAGAATCATTAAAAATTTGAGAGGCAGGGGGTGACAATTGTACAACTCTTGAGCAAAAGTTGGCTTATAAGCTAATATTAATATTTCAAATTTGTACGACAAACAAATGTGAAGATATAATGTGTATTTTATTTGAATGTCTTCCCTATCACAAAATCACATGAGTCTGTTGAGTTGGTAAACATTTATTTATTTTTATCTTTTCTAAAATGCTAAAAAGAATTTTTCTCCCACACTAAAGAGGGTTTGCCAAGTTTCTGCCTGGAGCAATTTGTTATGGCTGTGTAATAAATCCCAGAAAGTTTGAATTTTTAATGGAAACACTGACAGAATAAAGAGGGTGTAATCCTACATATGTCATTTAAAAATCTGAGCAAACCATAGTGTGCTTGCAAAACAAATATACTTTCCTTAGATTGCACTGACAAATAAGGCTGGGGAGACCAGAAAAGTAAAACAAACTCAAAACAAAAGTGAAAAACACTCACACAATAGACTCTGAGGTCACCTCACCACACCCAGACTAAAGTCACTGGGCTCTGTGCGTGGCACCAAGACTCTTAAAAGACATACTTCTGAATCATCTTTCTTGACCCTACACCAAACTGTAGCAAGACAGGCTTCCTAGGAATGAAAATGACGTTACCATTAGTCAAGAGTGAAATTAAAGTCATTTTACTCAAACATCTGCCAACAGTCTATGATTTCATAGTACTCACCTCTGAAATAAGACTCTGTCTACAATTAAAAACAAAGAAAAAAAGGTACTTTAGGTCTTCACTATCCACTATGTCTATTGAGCACTGAAAATGTGTGATTAGTACAAATTAACATGTGCTGTAAGTGTGAAATATTCCTCAGAGTTTAAAAACTTGGTTTAAAAAAACATATTTTACATATAATATATAATATTCATTATTCTTACATTATTAATTTTATGTATTATATACACACACACGCAATATCTCCATATTTATATTGGTTAAATGCCAAAAATATTGGGGTTTTTTTTAATAGTGTATATTGGGTTAAATAAAATATATTATTAAACTTCATTTTACCTGTTTCTTTTTACTTTTTTTTTTTTTTTTTGAGACAGGGTCTAGGTCTGTCACCCAGGCTGCCTTGCAGTGCAGTAGTGCAGTCTCTGCTCACTGCAACCTCCACCTCCTGGGCTCAAGTGATCCTCCCACCTCAGCCCCCTGAGTAGCTAGGACCACAGGCATGCGCCACTACGCCCAGCTAATTTTTGTATCTTTTGCAGAGGTGGAGTTTCACCATGTTACCCAGGCTGCTATTGAACTCCTGGGCCTTGGCCTCCCTGATTATAGGCATGAACCACCCCACCTAGCCTCTTTTTACTTTTCTTAACGTGGCTACTATAAAGTTTAATATCACATGTGTGAAAGGGTTATCTATTTCATTTCTAATGAACAACACTGATACAGATATTGGGGCTGAGAAGGCACAGGAATTGGTTCTAAGAACCCAGTTTGAGACCTTAGACTCCCAGCATGGCTCCCTGCAGTGGTGTGGTAAATAGCTTATTTTTCTCCCTTCTTCATGTTCCCCCCTTGCACTGTGTAACATAGACCTTATCGTACTCTGTTATAATGATCACTGAGAGTAGACTGTCAGTGAATGCGTGATCTCACTGGTAGATCTATTACAGGCCTGTGAAACCAAAATTTGTTAGGCTTATCTGTGACTCAGTCTTCTCAGGGGAGGTCTGGTACCTTGTCACCTTGGGAGGCTGATGGAAAACCTATGCTCTGTTTTCGAAAGCACGAGCACAAGCATCCTAGAGTTACAGCTGGTTTTGCTGCTTGCGGCTAAATGGTTTGGGGCCGATACTTTCTAGTGACAGATGGCTTTGGACATTGATAATGAAAATTATATAATTTGTTGCTTAAATAAAAAACATCAAGGCCACTAAAAGGAAATCTGTTTAAAAACAAACAAACAAACAAACAAAAAAAACCTTTGTAATATATTTAGTACCATAGGATGCTCTGAAAAGAAATGATTATTTTTAACTATCATTATTTATTCTGCAAGCAAGGCCTAGATACATTTTCATCAATGCAGCTCTGACCAAGATTGAATGTAAGGCAAGTATGATAATTTATGGTCTTAGTCATCTAAAGAACACAGCTCTTCTTCCATGGAAAGAAAGCAGACAACATTTTAAGGCTTGGAATGAATGAGTTGAACTTTGGTATTGGCCAGGAGCATTTGGAAATCTATTAAAAGCATTTCATTAACAACTTGGCATGTTGTTTCCTCAAAAGAAATATATTTTCCAAATTAAAATCAAAGCCAGAAGCCACCATTGTTTGAACTGAAGGTAGTGGCAGCTGATGGGTTGAACATGTTAAGCTGAGGGTGCCTTCGAAATAAGATCATGGGCAACAACAGGCTGCAAAAATAAACATCAAATTTTTATGGAAGGAGTGAAGCAATGTTCTTTGTTGTTCTAACTTCGTGACATTAAAATATGTGGCTATAAGCTCTCTTAGTTACTTTATTTTTCTTGAGTCAATATTGGCCAGGAGAAGCTGATCTGAATGAGGGTCAGAGTTTAAGAAAATTATTTTATGAGGAATTTACCAAGTTTACCCCCAAAGAGGGAGAGTGAGAGAAAGATGCATTGGCAAACTTTGCTTTTTGACATAAATAACTAGAGTTCACCAAGGAAACGGCCTGT